TTTGTACATTATGTCCACACTAACACCACTTTACCGATGCAATTTACGAATTTCGTCAACGTTCATGTTTCAATAGTGGTGGTTGCCACAACTTATACTGAACGAACTAAGTGCTCTACTATATATCGGATGGTATCCCTAGAGCGTCAACACGAATCGAGAACGACGTACTAACGATCTAACTAAGTAAAATGCTTTTTTTCGATTGTTAAGGACTCAAGCCCACTAAACTTCAAATTACGTTCCGTGGACTGTGTTCGACAGCGTGCTTGCGGTAGGAATTAATCTTATCTACAGCCTTAAGCCAGGCGTGGTGAAATATTTCAATAAATATGCTTGAATTTGTAAGATTCTCGAAAATCTATAGAAAAATTATACACTACGTAAGTGGCTATTTTTTCTCAAGTGAGGCTTTGTTAGGGAGCCGAAAAGACATTCGTCCAGAAGCCGGCGTCCCACTGCAAATGAAATATACCAGAATTATGCTCCAGAATAACAAGAATCTTCTTTTAATACTTTGGTTAACATTGATTACTGTATTGTACTGTTACTATTATAAACTGGCGTCCACGGCCAACATCTCACAGTGCTGAGATTCGGTAAAAGAACATGTACAATAAGTGACCGATCTCAGGCCATGTTAGCCAAACTTTTAAAATGCGTTTTAGCGTAGGACCGATTGCTTTAGTGAAATTGTAATTTTTATTTGCCTAAAGCATGCTCCCAGACTACGTCAGCCACACCAAGATGCTGGCTTTTGAACGAACGCCTTTCTGGCCTCCTACCAAAATCTCACCCGAGAATAAATAATTCCTAAAATAGTGTGCATTCTTTGTATGGGATTTTGGGTTTCCTTACCGGTTATAATATATTTTATAGAAGGCATCAGCAAAAATATTCTTTCTTGTGCTCATTTGATAGAAATTCATGTCTTCAAATATTTCACTTGACGAAAGGTTATATTTTAATTGAAAAACTTCCTAATTGGGATTTTTTTAGACAATACAATCTGTTGTATCCCACATTAATTCAACAATCTATGTGCCATTATTTACAATGACATACAAGAACGTATGACTTTCCTTCCACGGAAGACTGAAGACTCTAAACGCAAATATAGCAGCAGATCAGGCTTAAACTTATTAGGGAATTGGAAAACCTTTCGAGAACCTAAACATAGTCTTTCTTTCAGTAAAAAACGGAAGTAGACGTGATTTGCTATGAAGTGCTTACAATAAATTATATTTTTGGTTATGCTTCCTGCAAAATATATTTAGGACTAGAAAATCTATAGAAAAAATACGCACAATGTAAGTTGTCATTTTTACACAGTGTGGTCTCTTCTGGAGGCCGAAAATCGTTCGTTCAAATGTCGTTATCTTGATGTATGGGAAATATCCGAGGATTATACTCAAGTATAATTCAAATTGAAATTTCACCTATGTCGCCATTCTTAATCTGAGGCAAATTTTAAAAGTTTGGTTAGCATGACATGAGATTGGCCACTGACTGTAGTTGTTACTTGTGGCCTTGTCTGAAGCTGATGTAACGAATGGATGCAGGCATACGCACGCACCGACAACCGGTTAACTGGACGGAAGCTCGTCAATCGAAATAACATTTCTCGTTCGTTACCTGAAAGGCTCGTAGGTGGGGTTGCTCGTCACCCGAGGCTCTACTGTATTACAATTCCACTTAAGTAATCATTCCTACACAGAAACTCATTTTTAAATTCTGCTTAACCTTGCGTGAGCTCGGTGACTGACTGTAGGTGCGTCCTCAGGTGTGAGTTGATGCAACGCCTTTGGTGGATGTTAGCAGCGCAACAGACCGGCTAATTTGCCTAAGGGATTAGCAGTCGCGGAACTCACCACGAGACTGGACACTGATTACACAAATTGCTTGGCCAAAAATATGTTAAGTTTATTTTATGGAAAACATACACAAAACCATTCTTCCTGTCGCCCGTTTTGTACGAAATTACGCCTCCTTCAGTGATTATCCTTAAAAAGTAGGTGGTTTATGGTTCCACGGCAATTTTTAATTATGAGATTTTTCAAGACCATGAAGTGCCCATTCATAAAAGATCCCATCCGTCCATTTATTAATGCCGCTTATAAAGTCTGTAACATGGCCCACACATACTGCAAAATGTAATACGCTCTCTGTGACACATTAA